ACTTATAAAATTCGATCTTAAATCAATAATATAAACACTCAAATTTAAAATATTTAACTATCCGAACAATGGGATGTTTGTTTTTATTTTCCTTTTTACTATAACGTTCCAAAATCATTTTTGATTTACCGAAAGTTGAAAACGCAAGAAAGATGAAAGTGGGAAACAACGCGGAAGCAACGGCCTATCACTTTATCCAGAAGCTGCTCCATAATGAAGTTACTCATTGTCTCCATCATGCACCCCCCATTTTCTTCTGCCGCAATGCACGCATTCCGAAACCCCAATTCCCTATAATGCATTTCTTTTAGGAAAACTCAATTCCGAAAGACATACATAGACAGCTACTTGGAGCGTTGGTTGCTGGTTCTGATCAGGATCCTGAGGTGCGCCCTTGTACTCTCCTAGAGATGGCGCAGGTGCTGGCGGCAGTGATGAACGGCCTGAGATCGATTGTGAGGGCGCTGTGGGGTTTGCAAGAGAGGCGCTTCTTTGCCACGTTCGACGCTGTGATGTCAGCCGCAGTGTCCCTGACCACGGCGCTTGTGGTTTGCTTGCTGTCGTCCACTAATGGGCTAAGAGCAGAAGTAGCTGTTGCCTACATTTGATTGATTTTATCCTTCTCAATTCCTTTGTTGCTTCGCCTTATTATTAATTATTTGTATTCTTATTTTATTTTAACCTGGTCACACAAACACACACACAAAGAGAATCTTTAATTGTGATTTAGGGTCATAATTTAAGTAATGTTTTTAAAATCAAACGGGGATTAAACCGTTTTCATTCTACTGGTTACCAATTAAGCAATTTTGACTAATTTAATTGTTGAACTGGTCATCGATTTGATTGGTTTGACTGGTTGATCTAGTTTAGAAAACGGATTTAGGCCACAATCTACATTTCATTTTCAGATTGTTAGCATTTGAGGAAAAAAAAAAACTAGAAATCTGTAAAATTATTTAAAGGGTAATAAATAATGTGTAATACAAATGTGAGATTACTTTTACTGCAAAGCAAATGCTACATATTACATGGCAATATTTTACAAATGCAAAAACCAGACACTTACCAAAGAAAAAAATTGCATCACTGACAGTTACTGGATCTATACAACAACAAATTGGCTTTCCTTGCATCAATAAACATGGGAAACCAGAGATATCCTAGCTGCATGAAAGAATGACTTGGGATGATGTATATTACAAGGGAATCAGTGCTAAACAAACCATTAAAGGCCTTCTCGGCTTATGCCTGCAGGAACCCTTTTTGCTCTAGGTAGGATATCACAGTTTCAGCCATGTCATTAGGGGAGGAAGTACAGTTGTTTTTGTTGTACTGCAATGTTACCTGCAAAACCAAGAAAGTGAGCTCTAGTTCCATTTTCGGATATTCAATTGACAACTATCAAAAGGGGAAGATCATGACCACTTTCAACATTTCCGATTATGCAAGGCTAAGTAATGAATATCTACCCTATCATCATTTAGCCATCCAAAATGGAGCACACAAGCTACTGAGTCTTGAAATCCTTACAACTCCAGATTAGTATGTGCTGATTTTTTATGTTTGTTGGAGGGAAGATAAAGCATTTAGGAAGACATTCTTGTTTGTTAAGTTCCATCCTATAAAAACAAGAAAGCAATGCTTCAAAAATATTGTGATACACACCTCGCAATTCAGTGGTGGTTCATAAGGGTCATCAATACCAGTGAAACCTGCAAGGTACACAAAAGCAATATTTCATAAACCATTTCAAACTGAAAGCTTATATCCTCTAAGGAAGATTGATGTACGTAACGACAAGAGAATAAAATTCATTCCCAAAGAGGACAGGGAGGGATCTAGAATATCAATCTTCAAACACAAAATTCAGGGAGAGACCTTTAATTTTTCCGGCCCGGGCAAGCTTGTACAGGCCCTTTGGATCCCTGGACTCACATATTTGGAGTGGCACATCCATGAACACCTGTCCAAGACATGTTTAGTCAAGCCCTTTCACTTTGAATTTTCAGCAATCACAGACCAAACCGAAGTCTTTTACCCTTCAAATTGCCAAATATAGCACATACCTCAATGAAATCTCCCACTGGCAACATAGCACGACATGCATCCCGGTCCTTTCTGTAAGGGGATATAACACTGGCAATGCATATAATGCCAGCATCTGCAAAGAGCTTTGCGACCTCCCCTGTGAATAATAATAGCATGAAATTTAAAGTCACAAAATTTTATTATTATTTTTTTAAAAAAGAAATTCGAAGGATTGGGGTGGGGGGATGGGTTGGGCGGCTACAAAAGGGGGCCAGCACTTACCAATTCTTCTTATGTTTTCTGCTCGATCTTCTGCTTTAAAACTAAGGTTTCGGTTCAGACCATGCCGAATATTGTCACCATCAAGGATGTAAGACAACTTACTCCTTGAGTACAAGGCTCGGCTCAGAGCACATGCCAAAGTGCTTTTCCCTAAAGTGCACCAGAGTAAAAGAAAATGAAGGACCGTAGATTGAGGAAGCTGGATACCATACAGTAAAAATTCCCTACACTCCCTCCCAAGCCCCACGGTAGCCCAAACACGCAAACTCACATAAAAATATTTTTTCAATAAAAAAGAATATAACGAAGAATAATACAAAGGAGACAAAACTTCTTAGTTAGATGGTAATATCAAGTATGGAAGTTGGTAGAGGAACTTCTGAATTATACAATAACATTAAGAAGCAGAAATTAATAAAACATCAATTTATCCAAATTTTGGGAGAATATCTTAATTTTATCAAGAAAACAAGAATCCTAGAACTTATAACAAGTTTAAGATCAGGCCATATATATATAATCTTGAAAATGAATTCTTGTCCTGAAAACTTAACATTGGATATCATGATTCATGTAAAAGCATAACAAACCTGAGCCACTGAGACCTGTAATCCATATTACACAACCTTTTTGCTGAAGTAATTCTTGCCGGGCTAGCTTATCAACTGAACTTTTGTGCCATACAATGTTTGTTGACTGTCCAATGTTAGCCAACTGGCAGACATTTTTACCTAGTCAGATGTTTGAAATATTCAGAACCTTAAGAATATGTAGTTTTTAAAAGTGAAAAACATAAAAATATTGCATAGTAATAAAAATGCTCACAATTATGGACAAAAGTGATCGGTAAATCTTCATGCTCAAGGGAGTGAGAATTTTAAAGTCTCGGATGGGACCCCTTTTAGCTTCATTAAAGTTACAGTTTCATATTCATCATTGTCACCCACAAATTCCATGAAACAGCCATAACTTCCATGGACATAAAGAGGAATAGATTCTATATCATCTAAAGAAGACTAGAATAGTGAATAACCCTAAAGTGAGAGGCTTGTTCTTCTAGGTTGTATCCAATCTACTCAATTATTTACCAACAAGATCATAAGGATTAAAAAAAATGATGGTTTAAGTTATCCAGGAGATTTGTTTGAAGCAATGTTGCAGGTCTTAGAATCTCCAACTGAGTCTGCTATCTTTATGACAGCTTCAGTTCAAATAAAAATTGAAGGTTGGAATCCTGTTAAGAATACTATAAACCAGAATATTTATGACAGCTGGAATCAGTTTTCTTCTCTTTAATGTCAAATAGATTTGATCGGGGCCAGGACCACCCAGGAGGACTTGAGTCCTTTTGTAATTTAGTATCACCTTTCTTTTTTGGTAGAAAAATTGAATTCATCCCCCTATGGCAAGTGGCAACCATCAAGGAATAATAAAAGGAACCAATGACACATTAAAGACTAGAAACCCCAATAAGCTCCTAGATTGAACATTAGAGTCATGTTAGCAATTACAAAGTCCACTATGATTAAAGCAAGCAAGAAGAAAGAAAAAGTATTAAAGATAGACTCTTGAGTCCAATCCCCAAATTGCCAACCAGCTTCCACAAACTCTATTAACATGAAAAAAAGAGAGAAGAAAAAAAGAGAGAAGAAAATGATATGACACTGATAGCAACCTAAAACCAGATACCACCCAGTAACTGACGACTCCCCATTAGCATTATCTAAAAAGACGTCCTTTTTTTAAGAAAATGTGGCCTTAGCAATTGCCACCTCAAAAGGCAGGAAGAGTACAAAAGCAAATTACAAAAACTCTTTTCTTTCTTATTTTTTATCTTTTATTTTTTAT